CCTCTCCTTTTCCTCCTCTCCCCTCCCTCCTCTTCCCTCCTCCTCCTCCTCCTTCCTCTCCTTTTCCTCCTCTCCCCTCCCTCCTCTTCCCTCCCCCTCCTCCTCCTTCCTCTCCTTTTCCTCCTCTCCCCTCCCTCCTCTTCCCTCCCCCTCCTTCTCTTCCTCCTTCTCCTCCTCTCCCACCTTTTCAGTCCCCCTTTTTTCTTATTCTAAACACGTGCTGTCCCCTCTGCCTGGAATATCCTGCCCCCAGATATTTTTACCATTTTTTATTGACACAAAATTCACCTTTTTATAATATGCAACTCAGTAGTTTTTAGTATAGTAGATTCACATTGTGCAACCATCACTACTCTCTACTTCTAGAATATTCTCATCACCCCCCTAAACCTGGTATCCACTGGCAGTCACTCTTCATTCCCCCTCTTCCCATTCCCTGGCAGCCACTAATCTACTTTCTATCTCTGCAGATTGCCTATTCTGGACACTTCATAAAAATGAATTCATACTATAAGTGGTCCTTGTGACTAGCTTCTTCCCTGAACACTGTGTTTTGAGCCTCATCCGTGTTGTAGCATGGATCGGAACTAACTTCCTTCTGTGTCCCAACAATATTCCATTGTATGGATCTATCACAGTTCATCTGGTCATCAGTTGATAGGCAATGGGTTGTCCCATTTTTTGGCTCTTAAGAACAATGCTTCTGTGACCATTCTCATACTGTCTTACCTCTCATCGATAACCTTTAAAGAAACTCTGCTCACTTGGGCCAGCTGTATGTCTGGTGGCAGATGTGGGGCTCAGCACAGCCTTTCTTCTTCCTTCTTCTGTCAGCCTCACAAATGCCCCCCCCCATTAACACCCAATTGCCTTTGTTTTGGGTGGGAGTGTGGGCAGCACCTTGAGTGGTGTGTGTCTCCTGCTACCGACCACTTCCTTGAATTTGAGGAATAAGGTGGCTGATGGAAAAGGGTCTTCCAAGTAAAGCTTGCATAAACACAGTGCACCCCATTTTATGCAGGAAGAAGTTCCTGGTGCTGAAAGTTGTATGTGAGGTGCCCCACAGAAGGTAGCAATGTTCATTCATTTATTCATCAAGATGCCACATTGTGGCTGGAGTCTCAGGTGGCCTCATGGGTGGGGCCAGTTCTCTGTAGCCCTCGCCCAGATCATTCCTACAGAGAGAGCCCCTCAGAAGGTGCAAGCCTTTGTTTAGATGACTTCTGGCCACCTACTAGAGTCTGCCAGCCTCCAGGCAAAGGGAATACAAAGCAGAGCTTCTCCACCCTCCCCCAGCATGCCAACATGGAGCACCAGGGGCTGTGCTAGTTCCCTTCTGCTTCCCTCCCCTGGGCTTCCCATCCCCTCCCTTCCTGAAAACCACCTCCTGCAGGACTGTCCACCAAGACCAAAGGTTCCATGAGGACAGATGTCTGAGCTGCCTTGTTGGTTCTGGCGCACTCAGCCTTGAGCAGAGTGTCAGGATCATGGGAAAGATGATGACAACAATGATGACAAAGGCGAGGATGCTGGAGATATTTACTAAGGTTTCCTGTGTGGCAGGCATTACTCCATGTTCTTTACGTGTTTATGAACTCATTTAACCTTCGCACATGTTCTAGGAGGCTGATGCTAGTACTTCCATTTTACAGATATGGAAACTGAGACACATAGAGGTTAGATCATCTACTCAAAGTCACACAGCCTTCAAGATCTGAATGTCACAATCTAGCTCCAGAGCTCAGGCTTCTAACCACTGTGACAGTACTCACACATTCTCTATGTATATAAACATGCGGAAGGGTCCCAAAAAATGTATATGCATTTGAAGAGAGAGAAAAATTGTATTAAATTTGTAATACTCAAGTCACGTTTGACTTCTGCAATTACAAGAGGTGCTCAACGTGACTTGTTTTCATCTTTTGTTATCAGTATGTAGTATTACAGTTATTAAAATGTCCTTACTTAAAATGCACATATATATTTTTGGCATTCTCTGTGTGTGTGTATGTTGTTCTGGGATGGATGCTGGACACAGGGGACATAGCAGTGGCTTCATGAGAAGCCCTGCATGTCCTGGGGAAGAGTTAGGATCCCATGCTGAGGTTGTGCCCAGAGGACATCTCTCATTACTATTGCCCATGACTGAGAAAGGTAGCCTGGATGTGGGTCAGAACATAGGACTCGGAGGCCCACACTGTTGAGACTGGCACCTCCTGGGCCCATGTCATGCCAGGGTCTGGGGGCAGCTCCCTCTGCCCAGTCTCTAAGCAAAACCCCAATCCAGGCTGCCATCTAGGGAGGGAGCCTCGGCTTCCTGTCCATTGTCTACTTGGGGCGCACCCTGTGTGTTCCTGAGTGACCTGGAGAGGCAGGGAGGGAGGGAAAGGGGCCGGCCCAGAGCGCAGTCAGGGTGGGAGAAGGGAAACGAGAGGAGAAGATCTGGTGTTTTTCCTTGTTTGTGTTTTGTATTAAAGAAAACAAATAATATCCTTTGAGAAAACCATTAGACAAAGAACATCCTAAGGCCCAGAGGCCCCAGAGGCCCATTGTGGCTGCCTGGAGCCCGGAATTCATTCATTCTTTTTGGCTAGATCATTGGCGGCAAGAGAGACAGGGGTAGGAGGGAAGGATTGTTATTAAAATAGGTTTTGAAATGTATCATTCCCTCCCTAGCTCAGCAGGCATCCGGCCAAGTGGACAGGATGCCAAGGTCCCTGTGTCTCTCCCACTATCTTTTGGGGACACTCCCCCAACCTGGTCAGTCCCAGCATAGCCAGGCCACCCTAACCCTCCTCATAGTTGGGACTAATCCCTGTGAAGGCAAAATAGTGGAACCCTCCATTAGGAGCCTGACTCCAGAGGGCTGTATAACCAGACCCCAGAACCAGGAATGTTGGAGATAATTCACTGTATGACCTCTCTGGGCCTTGGTCTCCCTGTATATAATGTAGAGGTCTGGGCCAAATGGACTCTACTCTTTAGACTGGGCTCCTGTGCATGCCCAGGTCCCTGCAAGGAGCATGGAGGGCCACACTCAGGTTGCAGACTCTGCATCAGGCCTGTACCAAGCATTCCAGACCCAAGATTCCTAGGCCTAGGTACCCACTGCTCCACCCAGGCTGCCCTTTGTGGAATAGTACTGCTGTCTGCCGTGTCCCCACCGGAACACCCTTTTGTATTGGTTGTGGGTGGTAAGAACAGAGTTGGCGATCAGCCCAGCTTCTGCAAATAATTCTGCCTGGGGCCTGGCATTTGCAGGATCCACCCATGTTTAAACACAGGGTCTCTCACCAACCTTGATATAAATGTACAGCTACACATACCAGGTGTTCCAAAAGTCTACATACATAGGAAAATTATAGCTGGGAACATGTTCACCGTGAGTGGGAGAGAAGACGTCATGTGTACATAGAAACAAGTGGCCAACACATAGAAAGTATTTTGTAAAATTTTCTAATGAGTATTTTGTAAACAGAAGTATGTTAGGCTACAATTTCCCAAAAGACCATCCTTGGAATTTTCCGCAGTCCCAACTCCCCCCCTCCCACCCAGTCCCTTCTTTAAAGTTGAAAAAGTATTTAGCTATTTGTTTGAACATTTTCTTTATTTTTATTTTTTTATTTTTTTGCAGTTTTTGGCTGGAGCTGGGCTTGAACCCACCACCTCCGGCATATGGGGCCAGCGCCCTACTCCTCTGAGCCACAGGCGCCACCACATTTCCTTTTTTTAAAAAATCAGGCCCAGGTGAGATTCAAACTCATAGCCCTTGATTTGCAAAACCAATGCTCTAACCACTGAGCATGGCACTCAGCTTTGCACATTTTTCCTAGGCAGAATAGGAAGAGAGGATCTTGATAAAGTTCATATGGGGAAGCCTGGACTAAGATTACAAGGGTCATTTTCTCTGCACAGGGCTCAGGGTTCACAGAGTTTACCCCCCGGTCCTCTAAATAGCCCAGAGAAAAGAGTCTTAACATTCCCATTTTGTTAGGAATGAAGCAACTTGTCTGGGGCGTCAGTGAGAGAACACTGGCCAGAGCTCGGGGGCTCATTCTCTGTAAGACCTTCCACTGGCTCATTCACCTCTCTGGACCAGAGTGTCTTCATCTGTAATTTGAGGGCTTGGATATGATGAATTCCAAGGTTCCCTTTGTTCCCACCATTCTTTGATTCTGTAGTTCCAGCATCATTGACCTAATGGGAAATTCATCAACTCTTGCATTTTTTCAGTCTGGGTGTGGTGGTCAGAGTTTAGCCTCTCCAGACTCTGGGCTTCTCTCTGTTTCAGATGCTACCGTAGTCCATGAGGTCCCAGAGGTGCTGTGCTCTCTCTTAGAAGTAACTAATGCTCTTTCCTCCCTCACAACGCAGGGCTACCACCCGCTGCCCCATGAAGTGGAGATCGCGCACACCAAGAAGCTGTTCCGGAGAAGGAGAAATGACCGGAGGTAGGAGAGCCTCCGTCTTTGGATTTTCTTCTCCTGAGTTGGCTGTGTCGCTACCTCAGTTCTGGCCTATGTTTTGTGTTTCTTGGTCACCAGTTGATGCCTGTGAGATGAGGTTGGTGCCCTAATGGGATCAGTTACTGACTGAGGACTCCTATGTGGGCGAGGCAGCTCCACTTCTTTTGTTCTTGGGATTAGATCCCTTCAGGAGTCCAGCTGGAGGCCCACTGTCATTGCTGGCTCTTCCAAGCTGGCAGGGAGGGCAATGTCCAGGCTCTGCAGCTTAGAAGGAGGAATGTTCTTTCCACTGACCTCAGAGCAGCAGTGGCAGTCCTCAGGAACAGGACCTGGCCGGCTGTGTGTTTTGAGACATGGCCTCCAGGAGGCTCCCAGAACTCACAAGTTACAGGGTGTCTGTCCTTCCTTCTCCTTGTCATTGTCCCTGGAGTTGTCCCCAGGGAGTGCTGGCTGTGTTGTCCTAGGTGACACACAGACCAGCAGTGGCCCATGTTGCTGGACCCAAAGGCCTGGAGGATCCCATTGAAACTAAGGTAGAGCCAGGCCCTCCCTTGGGGCTCAGAGTCCTGGGTGACAGCAAGGGGCCAGGAAAGATGTAGTGAAGTAGCCCTGGACAGAACGAACACTGCGATTGGGCATCCTGGAATGTGTGCATTTATTTCTAAAAAGGTGCTCTTACAAGGAAAATCTTAAAGATGTATTTTCAGTGCAAAACTCCAGGTGCAGAAATAACCATGTTTTTGTTACGTGTGACCATTTGTGCAAAAGGGGGAGTTAGAGTGTATTTTTTTTTCTTGAACGTGCATAAATTATTTCTGGATGGGAATAGAAAAAAAGAAAGAACAAAAGGGCTTATGCCTGAGGAATTAAAATGAGGCATTCCTCTGTAGGGAATTTATTCTTAGATAAAGGTAATAGTTTATGGCTTTACTGTTTGTGAATAGAGAATGTTCTCCGAGAGCCAAGATGCAGCTACGGGAATCCCTTGCTCAGAGCACTGGTAACAGCTACTTTCATGCTGGGTGGGCATGCGGCCGACCCGTGTCTGGACCCTTCCCTCTGCATATAGGCTGCCAGCGCTGGTGTGGGATTGGGCACCCAGAATGCCTTGTCACCCACTGGTGGATTTAGTGGGTCCAGAACCAGTCAGAGAAGACAATGAATGTACAACTGGCTGGGAGGAAGGCAGCCCTGGCTGAGAAATCAGAACCACCGGTCATGAAAAGGGGAACGGAGCCGGGGTGTCAACCACACCCCAGCCCTGCCTTGACGGAGTCTGGCTGTTGCGTTGCATGTGCTGCCTGTTCGCCGTGCAGCTTTGCGGAGGCTAACTCCTGGCTTGGGGGTTCCTGGCAGAGGGAAGAAGTAGGAAGCACTCTGCAAGGAAAAATGGGGTCCACGGGGATCTGGGGAGCTGTCAGGCAGTGCAGAGGCATCCTGGCCCCTCCCTACTACATAGCCCTGTAGTCCCTGACGGGAGGGGAGGCCCAGAGCATGTGTCTCAGAGGTGTGGAAGTCTCCAAGGTCCCCAATAAGACTCACCCAGTGTCTGGGCTGGCCCACATGTCCATTTCTGGGCCAACTTGTCTCACTCAGCTAGAGTACCCTGGCCAGCGGCCAGCCTCCACAGGGCAGCAGCCCGCCTGGGCATGGAGGGAGAGGAGGAGCATACAATGACCGTGAAGCTGAGCTTCCGTTGGCCACACTCACACTAGCGAATGCCTGGGTTAGGTCAGCACATCCCACGAAGGACGTGGACCGGGCCACAGTCCAACAAAAGGCCATAAGGATGATTGAAAGCGTGGAAAGTATGTCCTGTGAGGAGGGCTGGGATGCATGCAAGGTTTATATGGAGAGATGAGGGCAGCTACCCCACCTCTGCAGGGACCAGACTAGAGCAATGGGCTTCAGCAGAAGGGCAGGATTTTCACCTGGGCTGGGCCAAAGGTACACTCAAGAAGTAAGCATCTTGACCAGCAGGGCCCAGACTCTGCAACTCAGGGCAGCAGACAGTAACCAAGCACGGAGCACAGGCTGGTCAGGGCGCCCCACCCTCTCCCTGGTCTGATGCATCACTCTCTCACAGCCCTGAGTGTCCTGGAATCCCATCCAACGGGGACTCTAGGAGAGGGGCAGGCAGCGGTATGGGTTAAGGACCTCAGTGTCTAAAAGTAGGGGCTTCCCACCCATGTCCTTCTTAAGAGATTATGACTGACATTTGAAGAGCAGCTACAAAGTATTGTCAGGTTGACCCCCGACCCTCCCAGCTAATGACTGATAGTAGTGGCCTCGGTAAGTGCCAGACCTTCCTATTTGACCTTGGTTGTTGACACTTTTGTATGGCAGGCTAACCTTCCTAATATTTTGAGTTTAAACTGTACTGAGAAGTGCTTGCATTCTCTGGGCACACCAGGCAGCAAAGGGGGAGGTGGCTGAAGGTTTGGTGACCAAAGACCACAGCTAGAATTTGTGTTATGCCTCTCGTCTCCCCTGTCATGTGAAGGGAAGCAGCCAGTTGTGACCCTAATATGCTGTCTCTGTGGCTCTCCTTGAATGCCTACAGTAGCCTGTGGCCTTTTGTCACCTGACATGTGACTGGAGTTGGTTCCTGATAGCCACAGACTCTGGGCATGTAGCTGAAGAGGGATTGTGTGACTCCCCACAGCCTGGACCAGGGCTTTGCAAACTGGGACCTAGAATCCTAGCCTTCCAGAAGTCTGTGTCCTACCCTGGTTCCAGCTGGACTCTCAGGGGTGGGGAGATTGTGTGTCCTACATCTTTTATTTCCTATAAAGTAGCCTTAAAGTCTCAGGCTATAAGCAAGCTAAGTAATGTAGCAGTCAAGGCACATATCCTGGGATTAGAGGCTAGATGGGAATCCTGCCTCCCCTGCTCACCAACTCTGTGATGGGGGCAAATTACTTCATATCTTGAAAGCTCTATTTTCTCTTCTGTAAAATGGGTCCACTAATTGGGAGGCTTAAACGAGCTCATTCTTATAAAGCACATAGAAACAGTTTTGGTGTTTTTTTGAGACAGTCTCCAGCTGCCGCCCTGGGTAGAGTGCTATAGCATCACAGCTCACAGCAACCTCCAACTCCTGGACTTATGCGATTCTCTTGCTTCAGCCTCCCAAGTAGCTGCGACTACAGGTGCCTGCTACAATGCCCAGCTACTTTTTGGTTGTAGTTGTCATTGTTGTTTGGCCGACCGGGCTGGATTCAAGCCTGCCAGCTCTGGTGTATATGGCTGGCGCCTTAGCCACTTGAGCTACAGGCGCCGAGCCCTAGAAACAGTCTTAATGCCACCTACAGGTGAGAGGGACCAAGGTGCAGAGGAAACCTGAAATGGGTGTGGAGTGCAGATGTCCATAGTGAGGGCTCGGTTTGTCCTGTGAGCCACACACATGCTAGGCTTGCTGTGGACCCAGAAAGCCTTGCCCTGCATTCCCTCCAGGGGCAGGGCCCCGGGATCTGTTGTTCCTTCCTTCTCCTGGATCAACTTTTAAAACTCTGCACCCACTGCCAAGCCCTCCCTGAGCCTGGGTGGGGAGGGAGGGCCCCTCCAGGGCTGCCATCTGCAGACGCTGCTCCTGCATTCCCTGGGCTGCTTCAAGTAGGTTGTGGATGTCTTTATCCATTTTGCAGAAAAAATTAAGCTCATGGATAGTTCAAAGGTTTTCTCCATAAGAATGTTCTTGAAATTTGAACAACTGGCAACCACTTATTTATTTTTGGAAGTTAGTAAAAGGCATTTGCCGATTTCAGACGAAATTGTTCATTTTAGGATGTAAATGTACTGAGTGAGTATTCCATGTGTCCCCCAAAGAGCAACATGCCTTTAGATGCCCTCTCCCCACACACTTTGGAGATCTGCTGCATGGAAAGGGGTCTGTTGGGGTTTGTCTCCCTCCCAGCATGCAGGGCAGTAGAGCAAAGTCTCTAGAGGGCTGAGGCCCTGGCCCATTGTCCGCATTCGCCCTGACTGAGGTCCCTCACCCTAGGGGATGGTTCTCTACTCCTCCCCCCACCCGACCCTGGCTCCATTTTAAGCGATGAACACACTGAAGCAATGAATGACAGCTGTGGTCAGTGTTCCCAAGGACACAGACTTTAGGATGAAGATAAAGTGGGCAGGGGCTTGTGCAGGAATGCTCTTGGGATGCACACCCATAGAAGGGAGGAGAGGACGCAGGACTGGGGAGGTCCGGCCCTACAGGGTTCTGAAGTTCAGGGAACTTTGTAGAGCTATCCCGAGATGGATTAAAGGGGCAGCCCTTTATGCCTTCATGACCATTGGTCATCAAGTGGAGAGGTGTGACCCTGGGCTGGGCAGTGCTTGTCAGCCAGCAGTTTTCCTGGAGGGCTGAGGGCTGTCTGCATAGTCCTTCGGCAGCTGGGAGGGAGTACTTTGTTCCACCCGGGGAATCTGGGCAGTGTGTCATGGAAATCACTGCGGTGAAGCACCATTCAACTCTCCTGCCAGGCTGATTCAACTGTGCCGAGTGCTGCATTTTGTGCCACAGAGAACACCTAACGTGCAGGGTGTGCCTCTTAGACAATGGCACTCTGGCTTGAAAATTCACGAGAACCGTGTGCACTATGGTCTGGCATCCACATGTTAATATGGAAGAAGTTCAGAGAAAGGAGCCATCTTGGGAGATGGTTCTGGAATGCTTCCTGGAGGAGGTGGGGATTGAACTACCAATGAGACTCCAGGAGGATTTGGAAGAGAGGTGGGAGGGTGGGAAGAGGAGCATGGACATCACAGCTAAACAGGCATTGGAGCCTGAGACTCCCCACCTCCCAGTAGTCGCCCTACATGACTTCCAGAAGCAGAACCAGAAGGCTAGAGCTCTCCACAGCCACGACCCCCAACCAAACTAAATAGAGACGAATAGCCGGAGCCTGTAGGCTCCTGAGGACCTGGGCCCAGACTGTTCGTCTCTGCAGACCCTGCAGGCTCCGAGCCCAGCCTCTCAACCT